AATACAGTTTTTTCTTTTACCATTGATAGGCCTGGGAGAGAAATTCTGTGAATAATATGCCCTAAAGAAGTCTTTGTTCTCTTTCTGTAACTCTTTCCACACTGTAAAGAAAGGAACAAACTTTACTCGAACCAGAAGGCAAATTTCCCAAAAAAAAAAAAACACACACACACACACACTCACAGTTTGTCAAGTTGTGTACCTGTAAGGGTAACAAGTGGGGTGATGCTGGCATGCTCTGCTAGAGCCTTAATGCACTGGTCCAGGCTCATATGAAGGAGCAAGCATCTCTCAATAAGATGTTGAACCTGCACATTGATGTTTTCATGCATGAAAGTGAAGTTTATAACATTTCTGTGAAGAGTAGTTTTGAAACATGGCAGATGATGAGACGGGGTGAGAGAGAGAGAGAGAAGATTCTTACCATCCTAATATAGGAATGTGGGTGGCAATACAAACAAAGAAGAGGATGTTGGTGAGTGTGATGCATGTTGTTCTTGATCTGTAGAAACAGGTTAAGCAGTGGACAAAACACACGAGAAGGAATATAGAAGAAACAAAACAAAATTAAATAGCAAAGGAAAAAGGTGCATGAGGAGAGAGAGAGAGGGTTAGATGTTTTGGGGAGGTTCACTTCTTATCATAAGCAAACAGATGAGAGCCTCATGGTGGTATATCCATTCATATCTCAAGTGAAGGGCCAAAATGGCTCAACAAATCCGAACCTTAGATTCATCCCATCTATAGATAAGGAAGCTAAGATTGATGTGATCTGTCTCTCTGTTTTTTTTTTTTTTGGGGTTCCCATTTAGACATTAAGTAGCTTTCTTTTACACCAAACAAACCTGGGTCCTACGTTCTTGAATTGCCATGAGTATGTGGAGTGGTCCTCTCATCATTATTATTAGAGAAACTTCATGATGTGAGACTCATAATAATATCACTCTGTTTGAAAGTTAACATCCCCTACAACTCCATTCCACGGCATTTTGCCTTGTTTCCTACTAATCAAGACTCTTCTTGGGTGGTATTCTTTGTGATGCCAACCTCTCAATGAAAACATTAACGTTATAAATATAAATTTAAAGAGAGATTTCATCCTAAAAGACTAACATATTAGATGAAAGGGCTATTTGAACTTATAAACACTCACTTTATTTGTGAAGTTTCCCCACATGGTACTCATTACATAAATCTTTTTGGTTTGGTAAAAGTGAACGTGGTCGGCAGAGCTAGAACACGAAGGTTTGGCCTCATGAACATGAAAATAAAGTTCCATAGAAAATGATAACACTAATGTCTAAACAAGTTTAATTATTTTAATCATCATGATAATGCTGTATCCTTAAAATTCACAGAATGTGGTGTAAAATTCGTGGGTTACTAGTTCTGACCCTAAAAAATATTAAACTCTGGTCAGATTATTTTAGTATTCTCAGCGTAGCCCTGATTCTGTTGTTGTGCATGGAGCATGGAGGCACGTAATCTCCTGTTCTTTCAGTACTTCGAGCCCTTGCTATATTACTTCACGTGATTTACATGAGTTCCTTAGTTCAACTTTGTGTTCATCACCATGGTATTTATCAGAATGATGAAATTTGGACCATCTAAATTTTGATCTGTATGGTCCAGATTTAAAATATTATTATATATTTTTATTTTATATTTATTAAAATCAAAATTGATAAATTATAAAAAATAATTTTTTTATCATTAATCTTGTCTAAATTTAATTTGAAGAGTCTAATTTAATATTAAAATTTTTATAATTGTTAAAATAAAAATTGTAAAATATTTTTAATATTTTTTTATTTTCAATCTAGGCTAGATTTAATTTAGAGAGTCAAATTTAATAGTAAAATTTTAACAATTATAAAAAAATTACTTTAATAAATATAAAATAAAAACATATTTCCTTCGTTTAAAAAATGTAAGGCATTTTTAACTGAATCTCACTTTTCAATAAAATAGTTACATACTTTTCAACTAACCCTATGTTTTCATATTTATCCCTATTAATCACCCTACAATAAATATAAAGTCATTATTAATAAGGATACTTTTAAAAAAAGGCAATGATTACATATCCAAAGACTAAAAATGCCTTATATTATTAAACATCTAATCTCTCATAAATGCCTTATATTTTAAAACAGAGGAAGTATAATATTATTTTAAATTTAAATCATCCAAATTAAAATTTAAATAATCCATATCTTATCACACTAATGAGCACTTTGATGTGGTGGTCACCAGTGTGATGGACATCCAAGACGAACCTAGCTCCTTGCACATGGTGAGCATTTCATTTTCACTTAAATTTTAAGAATTCAAAAGTTTTCATGGCGTCGCTCATCATAAAAGTTAAAATTAGTTATTTTTTGGCCGAAACAAAATAAAATTAGTTAAAGTTGGTTAAACTAACTAAATATATGACAAAACATTTTTGTTTTTGTTTTTTCATTCAGTTGAAATTTTTCCTAGTAAATTTCAAACTTCTTTCTCATGCTATCAATTCGGGGAATTTTACAAAAAATATATTTAATGACTTAAATAGTGATTTGTATTTGCTGCCCCTAACAAGTACCATATATTTCAGATGGGAGAAGGAAACTTCAAACGGAGTGAAATTTTAGTGAATGTGTTAAAGGCAACTTCAAGTTAATGAATGAAAATCAAATACATAAAAATGGTGGTTGTTTCTAGCCTTAATTAATATGGGATCAAAAACTATTACAAAGAAATCATAGTTTTTGGTTTTTAGAATTGTAATCAATTTTAGTCAAGCCCTTAGAATTTTGTCATTAAAAAAACTAATCCTTAAAATCGTGGTCAATTTTTAACTGAGGTTAAATAGCAAAATGTTTAAAAATATTTTCTTCATGAGTGTTCAGTATTTTAAGTCAACAAAGATATAAAAGTATCCATTAACTCTTTTTAATAAAAACATCTTTCTCCTGAACTATTAAAATAACTTAATGTCTGTTAACATAGACTTAAGAAGTTGGGTTAATAAGAAAAATACCTAAAATTTTTTTTCATAAACTTTGTATTTTTAAGTCAAAGGTTTTTGGAAATGTTTACATCTTATACTTACTTTTTTTTTTCATGATTAACATTAACAGATATTTGATAAATTTAATGGGATAAAGAAGGATTCCCTTACTAGAAAAAGTTTATGAATATCTATACATCATTATTGACGAGATGCTTCTAGCCCTTTAACCCTTTAATGAAATCCTTGCTATTACACAAGATTGTTATTACATAAGCAACACATCCAGCATCTTGTAATCATCTTTACTTTGGAAGTTCATAAATAAAATCGAATCGAGTAAATGATTTTTTTAGTCTTATTTGTAATCCATATTGTTAAAATTTTTTATCACATTTTCTTTTTTACCGCTATCAAGTGTTGATATAAAAAATGCATTATTAGAATATGAACATACTCTCACAATTTAAAAATATAAGATATTTTTTAAAAGATTAGATGTTTTTACATTTTAAAATGCAATTAATATATTTTTTAAATATATATCATAAATAAATTACTGTATATTCATCTTAAAATAAAACATCCTATTAAATAAAAAAATAAAAAAGACTATATTAGTTTGTAAACAATTAACTATTTTATTGGAATAAAATTTAATTAAAAATAACTTACATTTTTTAACTAATAGAGCATATATTTAATAAAGTTAAAATTTAAAACTTAATTTTAAAAGAGTTATGAATTTAAATTTTTTTCTCTCTGATAAAACATATTAAAAATAATTCATAAACAAAAACATAAGAAGTAAGTGTCAACATTACACATTCATTTTACTTTTTAGCTCAAAGTCACTAAGATCTTGGTAACTCGGTTGGTATCGTCAATGGGAAAGAAAACAAATGCATTTGATAAAATATCAATATTCTATCATAATTTCATTAGCATTGCTTAAGAATAATTATTTTATTCACAACTTTCTAATTCGAGAGGAGAAAAATACTTTTCATGCACACAATTATTTTTCATTTCATTTTCTATTATAAATTCAATTCAATAGACCAAACTGAACATAACCATAACTGTTCTAACTTTCCTGACATAATATTTCTATATCAAAGACTGATACCATATACTCAAAAAAAAAAAAAAAAAAGCACTGAAGAAGCTTTTTATTATAGCAAAGCTAAATGCAAAGCTGTTTGCCTTAAACAAAGTAATGAAGTCAAAGATCATAACTAGCATACGTTGAAAAAAAATCTTCTTGTCCCTCAAAAATTACAGAGGAAGCATCCCAAGGTTACTTTCTATTATATCCACTTTTTTCAGAGACTTGTTCTCTTAATATAATATAAAAATATATATTTCTTTCAACCCTATTTGTAAATCACTCTTAATATGTTTTATCAAAATTAAAAACAAACTTTAAACTTTATTAACTTAATTTTAAAATTTAACAAATTTCTACTTTTATTTTCATAAAAATTTTTAAATTTCATATTAATATTTTTATTTATAACATTTAATAAGGATAAAAATATAATGATAAACATTGAAAATTAATAAACATCCTATAAATAGGACCAACTTTTTTCTTTTCTCTATCATATAAATAGAATCACAGGAGTATAAAAAAAAACTAGAAAATTATTTCCATCACAAGCCAATGTAACTAAATTAGAGCTACGTACTAAAACACAAAACCTACTCTAGTTCATGTTTAAATTAAATTTTAATGGCAACATACTGTTTTCCAGTCCTCTGGTTAAAATCGCTACAATTCTCACTTAATCTTCAAAAACCCATTCGGTTGTTCTGATAAACCTATTTGCATTAGTCTTTCAAGTCACTAGCAAACTTAACCAACTTCATGAGTTATGGATATTAAGAAATGGTAGTTACACTTTCAAATTTGTAAATAAATATGTGACTTTCCAATTTGGCCTTTCTTTACAATTGATAATCAAAATAAATTGCAGTGTAGGAATTCAAAATACACAAACAATTTGCTGCAAGTACCCATAAAAACGCTCAATGCCCACAAACACAATGAGCCCCTCAATGATTAAACAAGGGGTAAAATTGGGGAGAAAATTAATTACTCTGACTTGGCCCTATAGTAAAGACCAAGAAGAGCTTTGAAAGTTTGCCCTATAACTGGGGCTGGAGGGAGTGCATTATTTAATATCAGAGACCGCTGACAAATAGTTCCAAACTATAATTAATATAGTTGTCACATTTGAGTTCTGACAATCACCCTCTAAGCTAGCTAGATATTACACTATTGACCTAATCTTACTTCTAGACCTACCTGACCATTTGAAGAAGAAAACAAAAGTTAGGGAACATTCATTACACGTGACTCGACATGAAGAAACACAGACAACATCAGGGTTCATCCATAATTTCATATGCCTTCTCCTTAACTGGGCTCAGACTTCTCAAGAGCTGCAACCAAAGGTACCAAACATTGCGTGTTGACTAAATCAAAACTTTGGAAACAAAGACTTGAACAGGAAATCAAAAGGGAAGACAGAGCTTACAGTTGTAGTTCAAAAGCTTCTCGATGAGGTCAACATGGGTCATAAGCATTCGTCTACAGCAATAACGAACCAACCCCAAAGCATCCAATGCATCACTGCATTCCATTAGATATTAGAAAACACATATACAGCAAATAGTCTTATCCCACTGAGTGAGATCTGATCTCAGCTACATTGATTGCACGGTTCAATTGAACTCTATCAACAATTAACTTCTTAGATATATCATTCGCTATTACTGCCTTATATAACTACCTAAATTAATACTCAGTATCCATTTAAGAAGGGGAAACATGATTTTAAATAGGGTAGTCAGTAATTAGATTGTGAATAGTTTTTCAGATGCCAAAATGTAAGATTCTTGACATGAAATATCACTTTTTAATGCTTTAAAATGAGCCGCAGCACACTGAGCCTAGGTCCATATCTAATAAAGTGAATGGAGATATTCTAAGAAGCTAAAGCCATGTTATTTTGTGTGTAAGCAATAAACGTGGATGCTTAGTCAATGAGAGTTATCCATTATCTTCAAGCATTCTTTCATACTTGCTTTTTAGCTAAGCCACATAACCTTAATTTATCCCCCCCTTTTTTTATAAACGTCATTTTAATTATCATTGCTACAAGTTTTTCCATTTTTCTATCAATGTGAGTGATCGGTCCAACATCATCATCATCAACCTGGAATCAACATTCTTAATTCAAACTTTATAACCCTAAAATCTCCAAGGATTTCAACATGAATGAAGAGCTAGCAATGGTAGGACTTCATCTTCTTCTGCCACATCATCTTAATTATGTTTATTTTTCTTATACTCTATTCAGTAATATATGTAACCATCCTCATCAACATCAACATGATTTCCTCCTCCCAAGATTCTCTACTAATGGCTATTTCTTTCATCTAAGCTTTAGAGAACATGCCCTTGCTTCCAAAGTACAAGAACACAACACTTTCACTAGGATAGTTACATATAGTAGCGAATAGAGGATAAGAAAAGGAAACATAATTAAGATGTCATGGCAGAGCTCACCTACCCTTGCTAGCTCCTCATCTACGTTAAAAGCCATAGAGAGATCCAAGAGAAAAATAAGGCTTTGGGGGTGTAAAATTTGAACTAAGAATGTTGATTTTGAGTTGATAATGATAATAATATTGGACCAGTCACTCCCACTGATGGAAAAATGGAAGAACTTGTAACAAAGATAATCAAAATGATGTTCTATACAAAATTGTGGCAAATTAAAGTTATGTGGTTTAACTAAAAAGCAAATAGCAAGTATGAAACCATGCTTCAATGTAATGGAAAATCTAACATCCTTACTGACTAAGAATCCATGTTCATTGCCTGCACATAAAATAACATAGCTTTAGCTTCTTGAAATACCCCCAATCACTACATGCCAACTTTTCCCCTCTTCTAACATTACATGCCTCAAGTAACTAAGCATAAGCATCATGCTCAACCACTTGATCTATTGACTATTGTGCCTAATGCACTTAAACACCACAGACAACACCTAATTACATATGTACACAAAGAAAACCTCAACCCAACAACAATAAGGAAACTTCTATTGTGCTCATTTTTATTCACTGCAGCATGCGAACCACAATTGAACTCAACGTATAAAATGGTGAGCCACAGACCAAAAATTAAAAGTATTTCGTTTCAGACCATAGATACTAAACTGTTTCACAGCATCTTCGCAAGCAATACAAGGTCTTGGCCCTTCTCTTCTTTCCTCACACACAAACACCACCAGAACCAATAACATCGGATAAAATAAAAGCTGATCAATCCTGAACAAATTTCAGCCTATTACAATAGCTAGTCAGACTCGGTGACGATCATGTAGCATACTAAATAAATACATTGCGCCAACAGAAGCAAAAAGAAGCTGTAATTTGGGACTCTGTTAACACCTCCAGAAAAAGAAAAACAAACACATTAGAAATAGGAGAGGCATAAATTACTGACCCTTCGCTGTAGTCAGCCTGCAGAAGGTCAAGATACGTATCCCATTTGTTTCCAATGACCTAAACGAACAAAATCAAATAAGACATCAAATACCTTAAAACTTAAACCCTGCGTCCCAAAACCTCGAAAGGCGTAAACTTTTCTACAGAAGTAGGGTTTGGCCAAAAAAAAAACATTGCTCGGGCATGGTGCTTGGAGCTTGTCGAGAAGAAAAGAAGTACCTTTCCACAGGTAAAACAACGAACAGGGATGATCATCCTGCACGCTCGACCTTCTGGGTTCTGAACTTCTGGCTGCTCTGAGCGTTGCCGTTGCTGTGTGCTCACTTTGTAGAAGCTTCGGTTTTTATTTTTCAGTAAAGCGAGGTGATTTGACCCACCCAATGCCAGCCTTATTTAGGATGAGCCCAAAGTCTTTTTGTTTGGGTCACAAAAGCCCAAAATCTCCTCCATTATTTGGGCCAGTATATGCTCAAAATGTTAGAACTTCATAGTGCTTTAATAAATATACGCCAATTGTGTACTAATTAGGGTTGAGTTTAGTGAAATTAGTGAATTTTCACGACATGGCATGCTAAGATTTAATTATTATTAAAAAATTATTTATATTTAATATTAGACCATACCTCAGCTAGAATTGTTTCCAATAAAAAGACACATATATATAATAAAAAATAAATAAATATGGCTAAATCAATAAGTGTTGGTCTTAGTGGTAGAAGTTATTATAATGACTTCCATCATTAACCAATATTTAACTAAATTAATTAAACAACCCTTACAATTAAGGATAAATTGTGGCTACAATTAATTAAATCAAGTTCTCAAATTATTTTAGAAGATTGGATCCCAAAAATAATTTAAAAGTGCGTTTAAAAAGAATAATTCCTGAGAACTCTTAAAATTAGAGTGTAAGAGTTTGCATAAATATAAAAAATTGGTTTGAGCATTTAAACAGATTCAAATAGAGATAAAACATACATTATGAAAATTTAGGTACATCAACCACAATGTGGCTTGTGGTGCAGAGAGCACACACCACAGCTAAGAACGTATCTGTAGCAACAAAAACCTCCTAATAGTATAGAATTAAGCATCATAAGATGCTAATTTCTAAACCACATAAAAAATTGCCCAAACCTCCAATTAAGGTGATCCAAACACCACATACGTATAAATAAGAAATTTAACTAATGGCTCTGATTACAACTCTATCCAGTGTCAAATGAAGATCCTGAAACACTTAAGACTATAATATGCTTGCACACTTACAACTTATCAACCAACTTAGGGTTATAATAAGTGTCTCCCATCTAAAACTAGCCATTAGTCATCATAACCATAAGCAACATAAATTGCAATCAAACCATCCATGTTCAACTCATCAACACACTAATTCATTTGAAAATCATAACTTAATTACACACTTGCACATTTGGCCTCAAATCAAAAGAATATAAGAGGCCTTTAATAAAAAAAAGGCCTTAATCTACAAGCAAGGGTACATGTAAATTATAAGATATACTAATAACACAACTTCTAGTGCTAGAAATATTAAGTATTCAATTACACAACTAAATAACTAAGAACTTTAACTTGTGAAATTAAGCATTTCTAGTCACCATTGCTTCCACCATTAACCTTACTCTAAACGCTTCCTAGAAAAATATTAACAAACAAGAGTGAGACTTTATAATCTAAGTAACCAGGAATTTTAATTAAAGCATATTAAAGTTGACAACTACAATCAAGTAAGCAAACTATAATACATAAGATAAATCCACTCATTAATCACAACTATCACAAGATAATATGTTGCTTGATTAATGCAACCACTTTATATCCTTCCTTATCTCATCTAACTACACCTATGAGCTATTAATTCATATAAGTCTTGTCTGTATGACTAGATTAGCCTCACTTTGCTATTATGAGGGGTCATCCAACCAAAGGCTTCCACACTCATGCTCGAATCGTAGGTTCCCCTTACTTAAATTTTAGGGTGCCATCAGTGCCCCACCCACTCCGTCCAATCCAAGATTGGTGATTGAATATCATGCCTGACCACGTCATAGCCATAGGTTATTGATAATACTAAGCTATAAGTAATAAAATATATCAACCACTGTGTGCAAACTTAGTAGAGGTGAATTTTATATCATGATCCCTCTATTATTCACCCACACCCATTATGATCATATAAGTTCAATCAACATATGCAATTTTAAATGCATGCATATCATAATAATTCATTATCCTCATAATTTCTAGAACTTGCATGCTTATCATGGTTCACACAACAACATAATTTACAATAGTTCATTATATAATTAACTCATAACCAGTCCAGGGCTACAATTCATATTTCAAATACCGTATAACATTTATATAAACATAGTCATCAAGCATTTCATCACAAATATGTATGCTTATCACAACTCTTCCAACATCATCAATTATAACCACTAATCATGTTAACACATTTATCTCATAGACAATACAAACTTTACATTTCATATATTAATATTACATAGCATCTACATAAATATAATTATTAGACATTTATCACAAAGAGGCATGCTTATTTACCTATGCATTAATTTAAAGCCAAAGAGTTCTATAACAAACTCATATAGTTCAATGCACAAAATCAATAATAATTCATAATTCATAGTTGCAGACATAATGATATATTATAATTAAGTTCCTGGTTATCTCAACTCTTGAGTTACTACTCTAAGAATACAATTTGGATTGTAAAAAGAGTCCAAGCCCAAATACTTTTAAAGGTAGTCAATCTACAGTTTACATTTTCAAATATCATTAAGGATTAATTGTCATAATCAGCTCTAATCATGATCAAGGCCTAAGACTCTAATTGGCAATGTAATAATAAACAATTTTGTTTTAAACTTCCATTAGCTTGAACTTAATCACCATAATATATCATTCCACTTATATCATTTTTCTAGTTTCTACCTCCTCAAGTCATTATAAAAATCTCCCCTCAAGTCTAGGGTTTTTGAATTTAAGCATCCTATTACGGTGATTGTCATCAAAACTACTTAAACTAAACTTATTTAACCTCAAAAGCACTTTGAGTGATTAGGAGCTAGTAATCGTGCCTTGGTGTTGGGAACTCTAAAACCCCAATAGAGCTCTTGAAAAATCACCTCAACAAATCTCTTAAAAACTCAATTATATTGTTCTAATTAGCAACATAAAATTTAAGTATGAACACACGCCATTTGCCATGGCCAAAGTGCAATTTGCCTCCCGCCAATGATAGTTTCATTGACCCAACTTTAAAAATTT